GATCCCGACGTGCCCATGAAAAACGCCGGGGAAAAATTTCAGAACTTCGTTCACAAAACCCGTTTCGTAAATTTTGAAGGCTGATTGAGTTTCGCAGCTCAAGGCGCGTCCACATGCACATCTCATTGCAAACGACCGGTTCTACTTGTAGACATCCCTTAATGAATCAAAGGGCAAAGGCTCGGACCTGACCACGGCCTGTACATTGACTTCCCGCTTATCGTTAGCAGGCCGTAGTCTTATCACTATCCCACCAGGTCCACCTTTCGACCGAACAAAATGGTATTATGTCTGTTTCCTAATTCCTCTTATTTTTCCTTTACCAGAAATGAATAACATAAGGTTTCCGACCGTGAAGGTGTCGAAGTGTCCGTTATGAGGTATCTTCTAAAGCAACCTCACTAAAGAAACTCAGTGAGGATGCTTTGGAAGAAATCCACGTCTCTACAAATTCCGAGAACTAAAGAAAAGCTCAAGGAATCAACCACTACCTTTCTTCCATTCACACGTGCTTCGATTTCTGCCCTTACTTCAGCCAGCGCGTGTTCAAATATCTTCTCCAATGTATCTGCGCACTGGTAGACATTGCTGTCCTGGAAAAAAAAACAAAATGGAAACCTTTTCAGAAACTAGTAAAAAGAACTGTAAGCAAATATTTACGCGTGGATAGAAAATCCTAGCGTTCTCAAATAACCGCGACATGTCCCGTGTGAAATCTTTCAAACGCTGATATTCGAGGTTTTCCAGGCGTTGTTGGATGATTGAAAGGTCTAAAACACTGACATCATCGCTAAAATATGAAAAGAGAGGTCACAACTGGAAAAGGCCACGGCTTTCTGCCGTATCCACTTTTTCGTGGGATGCGCCAAAAACTCTACTTCCACTCAGTATCGTTAAGGATTTGTGAGTGTGACTCGGCATAGAGTTCTATTCGCCGCGGATGATGGGGCGTGTGGCAGATTGCTGGTTTGGCGGCGGCTTTTTTTTTTTCTCTTTTCTTTTGACAAGACAGTATCATATCGTTCGTATAAGGCGTTTTCCACCCATAGCTTTCGCTTACCCGCTTCAACAAATGTGGAGAACAAGCTTGTGGCTAATCAGATCCAGCCTCACTGACACGCCCCTTCATCCGCTGCGAACAAGTCTGTGCAGAGAACTCAAAGAACTGCGCGATTCAGGGCACTGAACGAGTTCGAGCACCGGTTTAACGCAGACGAATCTACGAAGGTTTCTCAATTGGGTAAAGCGATCCTTGATTCGAACCTCACCAGGCGTATGGTAAGCGGCACCTTATTTCACTAAATGACCTTCGCTCATGGTAAGTAAGATGGAATCAGTTGCTGTATGAATCCTTTCGGGCCAATTCCCTCGTGATACTGGGGCATAACGTAGTAGGCCAAAACGCGTGCTTACACCAGCACAACTTGATACATGTTATCAACCATAATGTATATTAATCGGCGCTGCGACGCAATCGGATGCTCCACCACGTCCAAATAATTGGGAAACTCTTCAAGGCTAACTGGTTGCCGAAACGGCCATGACATTCGATGATCAGCGACACATTCGAGAAGACGCCACACAAGTGGATAGTCAGCTCGACTAAAAATTATGATGAAAAATTGTTTTTTTTTCGGGACATAACCCAATATGAGGAAGTGGAGTAGTAAAGCTTACCAAAGGGTAGCGTGTGTACTGCTGGCGGAACTACTGGCAGATTCATAGCCTTGCGTCGTCTGCGCTTCAGTGCACGATGGGCACACATATTCTTCCATGGCTTCCGCTTCTCTCTGAAATTTGAGCAATCTTATTCATTAGATCAACATTCCCTTAAAGTGAAATGCCTCGTGGAAATCCTTGGCAATTTCTGTCTGTTGCTTGTGGGCCACAGTCATCACGTGTGGCCACAAGTTTATTTTAACCTTATCTAGTAAATGAAGAAAGCAAATACTAGGGTAACGAAAAGATAATTGCTGCATTTTGCTTGACGGCCGGGTGCATTTTGTGAAACTTGAAATGTTCACGAGTCTTATTTCACACACCTGCTTTTCTATCACCAAATAATTGAATTTCCCTCCTTTCACAGAGGCGCGGGCATCTGAAGCTTTGAGCGGAAAACTCCCCTCATCCTCCTGAGCTCACACTCTCCTCCACCTTCTGTACCAGATGAGCCTTAAAAAAAGTGGAAATTGCGAGGAGTTAAAGCCTCGTTGAACGGCAAATCTTTAAAGGCAACGGTCCTCGATCCAGGTATGCGAAGTTGAAAATATGGCGCTAGGGGTTACGAGTGGTCGCGCGACGACAACCTGTAGACGGCGAATTTCGCGCAAAAAAGTTCTATGGAAGGGCGCTGTACAGCGCAATGATAAGTTCAGTGGCGTCGCACCCTTTTTCCAGTGACTCCGCCTCCAGACTCCGCCCCTAATGACCGACTTCCAGTGAAAAATGAGATTGCAGGACGAAAAAGCATGATAATCGCCACTAGTACGATCGTAGAAATCTTAAGCTATGAAATCAGCCGTGCATTACGAGGCGTAGTTTTGGAGATAGAGTTGACTTGGGCACGTACAAACTGGGATCGAAATGGGGTTCTATCTAGGGCAGGTGGCATGTTTTTGTGCTTTTTTTTGTTCACAGTTGAGTTACTCAACCCCTTGTCTTATATATGGAACCCCCTAATCCACCTGAGATGGCGAGACACATCGCGGATTCTTTCCCTTGACGCTGGTACCCCTGGGAAGGAGGCAAAACGGTCTGTGTTTCGGAGCGTTTTCTTTTTCCAACAATTAGCTTTTCTGTTTTCCTGACTGCTCGCAGCGGATGATGGGGTGCGTCAGTGAGGCTAGTGTTGGCGCGCCGCCCACCCATTCCCCCCCCCTGTTGTTGAGGAGGGTAAGCGACAATAAGTGGTGGAAAACGGTGGATACAAACGATATGATACAGCCTTGTCCTCCTAAAAGGTCCGTCATGTTGACAGAAATTAGCGAAATTGCCCACCCTCCGCCTCCTCCAAACTGGGACTTGTAATTTGGCATATATCGATTTCTAGAACAGATGACAACTACCACACGGGAATGGGAGAACTTTTAGAAAAATATGAATAACTACTGTTTACTAATATCAGTTCAAATAAACCTACTCCTTTGTGATACCCTACACACTTCGGATGAAACCAGCCTTCACAACTTTCGCAGCCAACATAGAACCTGAAATACGTCATTTGGGAGAAAATCAAGAATTCAATTTCCTGGCTGTAGTATTTAACTGGGAACGACATTCTTGGCAATTTGGGGCTCTGACAATCAGCTGAAAGTGACTGCAGGCACGTCACTGAAACACATCTGAACATGCAACCTCCAGCACTGATGAGGCAGCGTTGTGCTTTGTGAACGGGGAGAAAAGAAGAACAGGAGAATTAGCGATTCGTTTGAAGGGAACCAAAGGAGTGCATGACAACTCATGGATACTTGCGCTAGCGACTTGGAAATAGGGGAAGCAGCAAAGCGGGAGAACGCGAGCAAGACCAGAAATGCAGTCAGTCGCTTCTCATCTAATCCTATGATGCATATTTCTCAAAACGTTGGATCGCCAATGCTTCCATTCCTCCAATTAGCGAAGGCGCTGCAAGCAGAAAACTCACCGCACTCACCAGCGGTGTTTCACTTTGTCTGAACAAGCCACTCATAAAAGAACGTACTCGCTGTCGTTGTAGGGAGTGCGACATGTGCAGTACAGCTCCTGCTCCTGACGTGCTCTCTTTGTTTCCTGTATACAGTCTCGACATGTCCATCCCTCTATCTGCTTCGCATTCTCCTCGGTTACACCAACACATTCACCGTGAAACCACCGGTAACACATTTCACAAGCGATGTAGAACCTGAAGCAAATTAGAAGTTCATAAAAAACGGGAAACCGGGAGAGTCGCGGACCTTCTTGGATTGTAGGTGGTGCGACAAATACAGTGTAAAGCATTGGGATCCAAACCAAGTGGAGATGATTTGCCGTCTGCTGATGGCTGAAAACATGTTATGTTTGGAGTTGCAATTTCAGAGCAAATGTATCACAAAATTTGGTGCTATTCGGCTTGGGGGATACTACTAGCTACCGTTGACCTGGAAATTCTTGTGAACCTATGAAATGGTACCCAGCGAAGTTGGTGCAGGCTAGGAGGCTACCTTGTTAACTCTAAACCCGTGTAAAGCTAATTCAGCAGTACAGAATGAGGCTCACACTATTTCCCGAGTTTCATGTTTATAGGTAGGCTAGAAGGAGGTCTCATCAAAGCGGCCGACGAAACTTGCTCCATATTGTAGCTTTACAAGAGTTGTTTACAAGTCTTAACAAGATGATGCAACTGAAGAAACTAGTGAATCAGCGGAATGCCCCTACCCCTCCTAAGCCGAACAGTGCCGAAAATTTTTGGAAAATCAATGACCTCTTCTGTATCCCTGTGACGTCGCTTCGGAGGTCGTCCGCGTCTTCGTAGTTCAGAACCAGAAGAAGAGCTTTCTTCGAGGGATCGCTCATAAATCTGAGAAAAAACTCGCTAATAAAGTGTTCTAGCACCGCTGAAGAGATCACAAAGATACATTCTGATCTGCAGTGTATGATGGGGCGTTCCCTTTGTGGCTGCATTTCAAGAGGCGCCAGCTGTTGAAGCGAACAAGCGGCAAGACTGTTACATATCGCTCGTGTCACTCGTTTTTCAGCAGTTGTGATCGTTTATCTGCTCCAGCATCCGGTGGAAAACTGATCTGGCAGCGCGCCAAACGCAGCCCCACTGACATTTTCATCATGCGCAGCGTACCAGACCGTATTCTCGTGAAGGTTATAAATTGAAAAATTAAGAAAAACTATAAGTCGAAACCACAAACCCTCTTCTTGTACTTTGGTGTGGTCGGCAATGCTGGGCCACGCCTGGAAGGCTGCCAGTCAGCAACGGCAGTCGACTCTTCCACTGTCTCTTGGTCAGCTTTGAAAACTTTTGATTCGCTATCATTTTCGTGCGCCTTGTTGCCTTCTTCCTGAATTGATGGGTTAGTTTTATTGTTGTACTGTTCGATGATATCCATATAACAGACACTATCAATCCCAATTGGGCCAAAACGCTTCGCTCAGGAAGTATCAGGGGGCCATGGAATGGTTATCAAATGTGGAGCGTGGGTGGCACAAGAACTTATTCCTACTGTAAGTGAGCGGTAAGAGAGTTTGGGAGGCAAAAGTATTCGTAGATACCCAAACCTTATGCTACGTCTTACTCCGACATAGCGTTGCGGGTGTCGAAAGTTTCCAAGAGAGCACGACTAAAATGAGAGTTTATAAGCCCCCCACCCCGCTTCTGATATCACTGAGAGACACAAGGGAAATATATTTGAAAAGCAGGGGAGTCAACAAAGCGGGTACTGGCCCTACGAAGCCGTAGTACAGTAAAAGTTTAGTTCTAGGCTAAAAGGTGCAAGTCAATATCAGGGAGAAAGGAAGGGCGTGACTGCGTACTTCATTTGAGTACGACGGCGACTGTGCTTTGTGGGATATCGCCGTTATTAAACAACTGAAACCATGCCTTTGCCAGCAAAAGACGGGATGATTCTTGTCACACATGAGAATATCCCACGAACAATGCATCCTACGCCATGTTCAAATCAAGTACGTATCCACGACCAACTCATTTTCAGGATATGGAGTGTACAGTAAGAAAATCAACAGCTCACACCTCCTTGATCAGTGCTGAGCTCGAAGAGTCTTTGGTCCAGTCCACAGCATCTCCTCCCAGACTAATCTCTGCTGGATTGATTGCCACTGGTACAGGTCGATTGGCATCGGTATTTCTCACGTTACCTGATCCGCGAGAGGCTGGAACCATAGGATGTTGCAAATTGAATAGAATTTGGAAAGGAACCATTTAGACCTCTGCGACTATATAAACATTTTCACATATCTTATAACCCTAAATACCTACCATCAACATCCTTTTCAGCGGTAGAATTCTTATCCGCCTCAAGGAGATAACCGAACTCTTTCCAATCCTCATCCACAGTTGGGAACTTCGGAAAGAGCTCTTCACTGATCACATCGGTGAGAGTGGACGAAGTGGATGCAGAGCGATGGAAAGTGGAGCTACTTGACGATTTACGAAGCAAGGGACGAATTTCGACATTCATCGTGGGCAAAGCGGGAGAAACGGCTGATCCGCTCGACCACCACGCAGTTTTGAGCGATCGCGCTTGGCCTGACCCTCCAGATCGCCACACACACTCTCTCGAACACGTCTTCGCATCTCGTAATTAGTAACGCTCTGTCCCCATTTCCGCAGCATACAGATAGCCTCCTTGGTTGGCCAACTATCTCACCGTCGTCGAGTGACCACTCGGTGACCGCAATGGTCGTGCTCATCATATGACAAAACGATACAAAACGAGCCTCTGTTCCCTTCGAGAACATTCTCTGTGAGTGATCCCGATGGAGAATGATTGATTCAAACTTCTAATTTCGACAAATTTGAGTTTTGAAAGTGACAAAAATGTGACGTGTGGCAAACGAATTCTGTGACGAAACATACCCTATACCCCAAGTCCGAGGGATGTTAATAAAAGAAGGATAAAGTCTTCGCCGTTGATCAATCCCTTTGTGGGATGCGGCACGCATTCTACTTCCATTCAGAATCGTAGTGGCTTATTGAATGCGATGTGGCCTATACAATGACTTGCGGTGGCCAGCCGATGTACAAGTCAGTGTTTATCCTCCCAGACGAATCTGGTACCAATTTACCGTCCCCGGAGGGTAGAAGGCTTGGTTGGCCTGGCGGGAGTCGACCCGGGATTGAACCCAGGACCGCGCGAGTGGTGAGCGCGCCACTTGTCACTACACCACCTTCTGCCTCTAGGGATGTTAGCTAGAAGAGAAGACGAGGTGAACGGCATGACTGCTGTGTATGACTGCTGGCTTCTGTACCCAGTGGGAGACGGACAAGAAAACCGCAGATTGCCGCATTGTCGCATGCGACGTGTCGTTCGGCGATACCAGACGAATTCCTGAAGTGTACAAGTACGTCGATTGGAGCAGCGATAACGCTTATGAATTCAAGTGGAGGCAAGACTCTGTGACAGACGATACTAGATTTCCCCATCTCTCAGACTCCCATATGCAAGCGACTGGGCAGGACAACTCGTTCATCAGGCGCAGCGTCGCTCGCCACGTCCACCGCCACACAAATTACAATTGTTTTGTCAGATACCTGTTCTTAATATACACACAAACAACCAAAGTCCTCTGAGGAGCAGCAGAAGTGTTCAACAGCTGCTCAACTGCTCAGAACCTAATACAGGATGCCCTGCCACGGAACATTTCGCTCGCTAGTAGATCATTGAATTTAACTCAAAAAGCACTAAACGACTGGGCAGGACAACTCGTTCATCAGGCGCAGCGTCGCTCGCCACGTCCACCGCCACACAAATTACAATTGTTTTGTCAGATACCTGTTCTTAATATACACACAAACAACCAAAGTCCTCTGAGGAGCAGCAGAAGTGTTCAACAGCTGCTCAACTGCTCAGAACCTAATACAGGATGCCCTGCCACGGAACATTTCGCTCGCTAGTAGATCATTGAATTTAACTCAAAAAGCACTAAATTTTGGAAAGTATTCGGTGTCGACTAGTCTCCAGTGGGAAAGCGCCCGGCACTTTCCAACCAGTACCGTAATCTTGGCAAATTCTGGCCTGGACAACAAGTTTCGCGAGCTAGCCGATAAGTAAGTCAGTAATTCCATCCTTGCACACGTATCTGGTTCCAGTTAGCCAGCACCGCAGAAATTAGTTGGCTCGTGCAGGAACCTACTATCAATGTGACCACCTGATCATGCTCTTCTTGATTACTGTCACACCTCCTACGCCTGTGAAGAAAGAGAACAATTAGGTAAGAATTCGGTGCGGGCTCGAGTCCTGCATAAGCTCAGGTCTTTCACCAATAACTAACTTTTTTTGCGATACAGAAACCTGTTTACAATGCACAGTCTGGATCCCTAAGGAAGAAGGAATGTCCGAGCGGCTGCGTTTGGCACGCCGCCAAATCTGCTCTCCACATGTTCTTTAAGGTGAACTGGTGAAAAAAGACTCACGAATGATACGGTCGAACCGCTTGCCGAAAGAAAAAAAGGAAAAACGGTTGGCGCCGCGCCAAACGTAGCCTCGCGGACACTCCCATCAACTGCAGTGAGCTAGACACATCTGAAAACTCCTACCGTACCTCTCATGTGGGACTTCATACGCGATTTTCTCCATGGAGTCGGTAATCCACACATTTCCTCAGCTTTATTTTCCATTCGTGTTCGCCTCTTATTGATCTCTTTTCGTAACCTGTCGATGTGCTCAGCGAGGACTGTTTCCCTCTGGTTCGGGAAAATTCGACGCCTGCAGGGAAAATCATTCACATTCTTTCCAAATGGAAAAAGCTACGGGTAATGATACGTACTTGAACCTGTCAAAATGTGGTCTAGTTGGTTTCATCAGTAGATTTTTATACCACCCGAATTGTTTATCCCAGCGACACGCCTGCATCACCATCGTTTCCAGCACCTGAATGTTATAGTAAATGAGAGCCTACTCTTCACCCTTTGCCATTTGTGACTCCTACTGTGTGACTAATCAGCTGATGCGCACAGAGGGTTTAGGTTCATCTCAATGCGACCATTGAGAAAAACCGAACGGAGAGCCGTAATTTGACCGGGGGGGGGGGTGTAATTGCTCTCGAGAAAACTTCTGGTATCTGGGCTTTTTCGTTTCAGGCGCTCATATTTGGCACAGTCTCGATAGGATAGAGGGATAGCGGAGGAGGCAGGGGAATGTTACAACCTTTTTTTCTTACTGTGGATTGTGGTAATTGTTTAGAAAAGACTCCACCCACAATTTATGGGTGGAAAGTGGAAAAGCTCCGGAAGACGAGTAGGAAGGTGAGTGATTTCGATCAGGTGTAGACAGGCTGCGACACAGTGACTGTGAGATTCCACCATGTCACCCATCCGGACTCCCTTCACATTTCGATCCCGCCCCCTCCCTCTTACCCCGCTCTATGGCGAATAGTGAGGAAGTACAGTTATGACCTCTGCAAACGATGAGGTCGTGTGACAAGGCGTGGACTGGATCGTTGCCAGAACAAGCTTTCTCTCAAACTGCTGCGGAGTATGGCATTATTGGTGCAAAAAGACCGCTATAGAAGTACTCCGATCTACAGCCTCGTCTGCACGGATCATGACTGTACGTTGATGGGGGGGGGGGGGAATTATACCTATCCAAAAGTCTTATGAACACGATGCTGTGCCCTACTCTATCTGAGAGCACGCGCAGAAGATAATAAATTATCTCTCTTGTTACCCTACTTTCCTCCCCCTCACTTCCAGATTTCCTCAAAAATCTATTTTCACTACCAATTATTGTTAAATAATCATTTAAACAAGTAACAACTCATAATAATTTATATTCTAATATCTATCGCGAACCCAACGCGCTATAGCTCTTCACACCTGTTTCACAGCCCGTGTGTCTGGACTGTCGTCCCTGTGAATCGCCAGGTTAGATGTGTAACGCGGCATAGCCGGCTGGGAGTAGAAGCCCATTCCAAAGTGAGATGACGGTACCATTCTTGCGTGTTCTTCGGGATCCTCATCATAAGGTCGTCCCGCTGCTAAATGTGGTGGCAGTACTCGGTGCATGGGAGACGAAAAACTGTAAAACAGACTTACGATCTCTAGCTCCAGGCTCTGGTCGTCCTCCTTTGTCGGCTTCTTCTTGTCGCATGAGTTCTTCTTCCCTTGCGATCGCTTCAGCAATTGCCCTTTCCTCATCCTCGTTGTTTTCGAAGTCAAAACGATAAGGCCGCGTGGGCGCCCTGGTAATGAAATGCAGTTTAGAATCATGTGGAACGTATTCAGTCTACTGTCCATTTTGCTTTTCTGTCTTGCTAGATTAAAACGAATCAGAAACTTTCGAAGGTACCACATTCCCTAAAATGAGTTTTCACTCATTACCACTAAAGTCCCCCAATCTAACCAGATCTGCTGCAGCTGAACGCCCATCAGCATAAGAACGATCAGAACAAACCTCTCAATTCTACAAAGTTTTCGTAGAGAGCAGGTTTCATTATACGCCATGAATTTGTCTTGAGCAGTCAACCATTTGAACCGCATTCACCGGGTGGAGCTGACGCAGTGGCAGTAGAGTCGTTTCCGCAAACGGGCCGCAGTCTGACCAGATCCGCGCACCTGAGCGCCAGGGATGGGCAGGGGGCTGGGTTTGGCACGGCGGCCGCTCCGTACTCCACCATCTGTTGAAGCAAGTAAGCGACCAGTTGCTGGAAAAACAGGCTGGCGCCGCGCCAATTTCGCTCATTGGAAACGCCTCCCTAGAAACAACTATAAGAGCGCCACTTCGCAGGATCCCAAATCGGGACAGCTTGCGACAACGAGCCCTTTCTCTCTCTCTCATCACATTCAACAAGGAGTAAGAAGAAGGGGAAATAGGGAATTACTTTAGACAGCGATATGCAGTGAGGTAGTAGTTTCTACAAACTTAGGTAGTTCGTATTGTAATCAAAAGAAGGGACATTTTTGCGATCCGCTATCCCTGTCCGCTTGTGGCTCAAGGGAAGTGTCCTTTTTCAAGCAGCAAAAGGTTCCAGTGTAGATTTCTTGTGTCTCTGACCAAAAGCGCAGATTCAGGAAGTACTTCAGAATCTCAAGGGAAAGGAAAAATTGACCGCAGTTCTGAATGTCGGGTAAAGCTGCTGAAGTTCATGCTACCCTGGGTAGTTGACTCTCTACATCTAAGACTGACGATGAATTGACATCTTGCACAAAACACGGCCATGGTTCCCAAAGGTGGGTCATAGGGTGATTGGTTCGAAGTTTATCAGAAAAAGAGATTCTCTGGAACAGAACTTTACCTCATATTGACTCCTCTTCTTCTGCAGAACTCCTTGTAGCTTGTTATCCTGCGCATTGGTAGTGATGATCCAAGCTGAGTAAAGACGGCTTTGAAGAGGCATGCAAGTTGATCGCATATAAAGCAAGAACAGATTTCATGCATGTGCATGAAATCTGTTCTTGCTTTATATGCGATCAACTGGGGGAGTCTGACTGTATCCAATAGCCCCTTTTATTTCACCATTGCTACTAATAGTTAATATTGTGCTATGCTACGCTACCAATAAGACTTGATTTTTTTTGTGATTGAATTTTCGGAACATTCCATCACCACCACGGTTGCTCTTTACAAGGCTCTCATTATCTTGTTCTCTTGGTACAGAAGTATTTTTCCATAGCATCGCTGGGCCAGGCATTTCAAGGGAGGGAAGAGAGAGGAAAAGTAGAAAGCAGAAAGGAAAAAAGGTTGGGGAAGAAATAAAAGAGGGAGGCTGAGTGTAGTGTTTGACAACTATCCTGAGATAGATGAGAGTTGCTCCGCATAGCGGTTTTATACTATTTTTTGACACCTAAGGCTCTTTTTTTTTCTACATTCACCAGGACCCACCCCACCCCCCACCCCTACGAATATAATAGTACTGTAGTTGTAATGATCGTGTGAGACACATAACAGGATAAAACATTTATCAAGTAAATCAGTGAGGTCAATAAAGCATTTCCAAATGTACAACGTTACCAAAAGACTCAAAATCATCGATCAATAGCACAAATTTTGTTGAAAAACTAACATGACGATAAAGAGGACAAATTGCTTAATTATTAAAACAATTGAAAGTAAACCTATAGACCACAAGGGCCTCACACGATCAAAACAACGAGCAAATATTCTCAACAACAATGACGCAGAATTTCAATGAAAGAAATGAACTGCTCCCGCTAGAAAAAACGTAACAAGGTGTTAAAAATAAGATCACCATTTCCTGGTCATTACAGGGGGAGAGCTACCATACTCGGAATTGAAAGAGTAATAAAATAATAATAATAAATACCTAGATATGGATCACAAAATTTCAAATGCGCTTGTTTTTAGCCGGTTGGGGACGGACATTGCAGAACAAGCGGGAACCACTGTTTAGTTAGAACTACTGAGAGGCTTATGATCTATTCACTCCCGAGTGGTTTGGAATCTCGCCACCATCGACAACGTAGCCATCGTTATCGTACACAACCTCTTCGCGAACATAACTCTCCACTGGTGCTGGTGCTAGAACCACGCGCGATGGCACCGTCACAGCGTTTTTTACGTAGTATACCCGTGGAGAATTCTGAACATATGCCAACGTATTCGTATGAATATGGGAGCAAAAAATCGGTGTGCGCTCTCAATATAAAGAATTTCATAATAAAACGTTCAAGGAAAGGTATACTTACAGTATTCGTCTGCATTCTGGAAGCACCGATCATTGGCGCAGAGCCACGTGAAGGTAATCGATGAACGGACGAGTTGTGGGCGAATCTAAAGCACTTGGCATGTACATGTAGAAGGGATATAACGGGGCAAACAAACACACTGTAGTTTTGAACACTGTAACTCATAGAAATATTGGTCCCCACTACCAGATTCACTATATGAAACCGTCCCCTGTGTACTCGCCCTACACTACAATGTTCTCTCTGTCCCTGGAGCAAATTGTCTAAATAGAGGCGCCAGCAAGACAACTCGTATGGCTCCTTGTATTTCCGGCCCAGCAACGATGCCGCAGGGCACATCGTTTTTAAGGATTCCCTAACAGGGGGGTGGTTTGGTCACTGAGAGAGGAAGGTTACAGTTGCGCTGAGAGAAACTTACTGATAGCCGATTTTGCTTGTTTCACGGACGTTGTGAGGGGTGGGGGTCGTATTTATTCGTTGTTGGAAGGGGAAAGTATTCCCTTCTGAATGAGGTTGCCTGATTTTTTGTGATTTTCCCGAATGCATGTGCTGTTTACCCCCTCCCCAAGTCGACAGTTCGATGAGGAGGGAACCAAGGAGGGGGGGGGGTAATGATGCGCCTTGGGACGCCAGCGACCAGGAGTATATAGCTATTGATCTAGGGAACATCAAGGCAGATTTCTCAGTTCAAAAAGTGCCAGTGAAAACGTTGCTGTGCGTGGGCGCTGACATTCACAGATCGATACCTATACTTCCTCAGTCCCTCGAGACGCTGGCGTTCGCTAATCGATTTCTACATTTTCCCAGTCGCTGGCACTGGCATACGCTCAAAAAACTGGTGGTCGCTAGTGAAGGCAAAGTATACACGCATCTTATCCAAATTCTCAGGCTCATTAAACGAACAATTTTCATTCCATGCTTGAAGTCAATTGGTGATTGGACGACCAGCCTCCAAACTTGGAATTAGAAGGAAGCAATTCAACGGCTGACCAGTCAGGTAAGAGATCAGACCGTGATAGGAGGTAGGTTGTCATAACACAATTCACTTAACGCACCAAAGTGCTAATGTGGGGTCAACTGATTAGGAATGCTTTTGCTCGCAATCCCACAAATTGGACCTACAATCAAAAAATTTTGCCCACCCATTCCCCATTCCACTCCGTATCGCTTCGGGAATATTATTCCATGCAACAACCCTATTAATTAGGTTTGACGGGTCATGTAATACAGTACTGAAAAATTAATAAGTAGTCAAACCTGGACGATTGAAACCTGTCCGCAGGATGAACACCAACTCGAACTGCTTGATCGCTGTACATTACCTGCTCCTGAGAACCATATTTTATTAGTCGAAATTCCACATAGAGAGGATACTCATGAGTTTAATACACTTACATCTCCTTTTACGACAGGATCACAATACATTTCACCACCGTGCAACTCCACCTGCATGGGAACATGACGAATCTAGAACATTGAGGTCGTCGGTGGTAAAAATTCGGCGGATTGTGGAAACGCGAACCGGACCCTCACCAATCTCTGTGGTGTCGACATTGGACCAGAAGAACTTTTCTCTACCACCGCCATTCTTTTCATGAATGGATCAGCCGGCTGCTCGTAACTGGTCCTCATGACTGACGGCTCAGTGGACACAACCATCCGCGAATGTACCGACTGGTCTTGCTCTCCGCTCTGGAACACAGTTCTGAACAGCACAGCACCACAGAAAGAGGGGAACAGGTTTATTTCAACTGAAGCACGACCTCTGTAGATAAAAGGGGGAAAACGTACCGGCAGCTGCACTACTCTTGAGCCTGGAGGAGCACGAATATTTTGAGGGATTCGACTGTTCACTGAAGATGTTGACCTGAAAACAGGGACAGTAGAAAGTAGCAGTAAAATCGACACACTTGACCATGCTCAACGCTCAGGGCAGTTTCAGGAATTGGTGATGACATCTTGCACTTTTGCTACTTTTCATTGACGTGCCGAGCCATCTAGAGAGCTATTTCATGAGCTTACAAGATTTGACAGACTTTACTATGCTTGCTCCAGCTTTACAAGCGTTCACAGGTTTCGCTAGAGTGAGACTTCCAAACCCGAACTAGTGAAGCAGCGAATTTGCAAAATGCCCCCCCCCGTCGCTGAACTGCCCGACGCTCTCTTCAGTGAGCAGTTTGTACACATTTCCAATTTTTTTTCAGTAATAGAATATGTACACACATTGAAACAGGTTCATCGGATGGTTGAGGTATTTGCCGCAAAAACTGTGTTGTTCCATCTGAACGGCGAACCATAAGCAATTTCCCTGCACCAGTTGGAACAATTACGGGTGACCGCTGAAAAGTCAAACATTTGACGAAAACTGAATAGAATTGAAAAAAGAGGATGGCACCGAAGTCGCAGATGCAGACTGAACCATTCGCGTCGTAGTCAGAGGTGACAGCACTCGTGATGAAGCTACACGACCGCCGAATGATCCACCAGTATTATCGTATCTGCAGCAAAAAAACATTCTTCAGTAGGGTCCTAAAAGGGGAGGTGCCAAAGTGACAAACCTAGGGATAACTGGAGGTCCATCGGTGGATACGCCGTTACCGGCGACTTGTCTGGATGGAACCGCATACCGAGGCTGTGTTGTTTCCTCTGTACTGACATCACTAGTAACGATTGTTTCTTCAGCACCAAGTGGTACCACGCTTTCTTCAAGCAGGCCCGCAGGCTGCATGCCGTCCCCAACCGGCTAAAAATAACGTTTTAGCGTGTGTCACAGAACACAAACGATGACGAAATTGCGCATCAATCCGTCCAACCAGAAATTGGCCAACTTTTTTGACTGGAGCGATTCAATGTTACAAACAAAAAAATTGTATTCTTCAAAATCAATTATTCTTGTCCCCTAAAAATGGCAAGATAGGCCAGGCGAATACGAGATTTAAGCAGTGCGTCTTAGACATGTAAGGCTGCGTTCATTCAGAGTTTTGAGTTTACGGCAGCGTTCTCAGCAACTGCCCACAAGAAGCTCAAAACTATCCGCGAACATGCTTAAAACGCCGATGTACGCTCAAAAGCATCGATATCTACACTTTCTTAGTCGCTCAAAACGCTGATGCAAAGTATAAACGAAGCTAAACGCAGACAAAGCCGTAGACGGTACAAAGATCGATGTTATTTCGCGAGCAAATAACCACATACTAATAATTTTTGAAAAGATTTAAATTGAAACCAATTATTTTTGAAAAGATTTAAATTGAAACCAATTATTTTTGAAAAGATTTGCTTTGAAAACTTCCATTTGTTCGGGTTAGTTGATAGCGGGAATTACTTCAAAAGCGGTCCAACTCGTTAATCGGCTAAGTTCAGTTTCCTTTGCGACTCGTTTATGAAAGTGGTCACGATCACCACACCATTTTCACAATGAGTCCTAAAGGAATTAAAAGTTTCATTTGAAAAGTGCAGATTTTGGGGCTTTGTGGTCTTTAGCGGTAGCTGCGCAACCTACACCATCAGCTTTCAGAAAATGATTGTTGCTTAGTTGCGATGAGGCGTTGGTTTGTACCAACCCCTGTACAAAAACAGAATTACTTGAAAATTCCAATAGTAGTCTAAAGCCGACCACAACAATAAGCACAAAGAGATATTTAAAAAAAAGGAAGATCGAAGGCAGCCAAATCTTGGCTTTTATCCCACAGCATCGCCACCACAGCGCTTTTTGACAGCCCTGTACTCAACTGACGGGACATGACGACCTTCGGTGTGATGGCAACCGGAATGCTATCGCAATACAACGCTACACGTCGCATCACTCACCGCCACGAACAAAGTGCAGCGTGCCAAGCAATCAATAGGGGAAGGCCTTTGGCAAATGGCCAGAACTGACTTCGAACAGAGCGCGATTGTTGGGTACAGGGTACATCATCGGTGGGGATTCCCCAACAGGGAGTCGTACTTGGTCTGAAATTTTTCTGGTAGTTGACTTCACATGTTCTACGAGCGCTGTAAAGAGGGAGGGCGAGGGGGTCGTAATCGCTCAATGTTGGGGAGTGGGGGGGGGGTATACTTTTCGTGACTTTTTCGTTCCAGATGTGCTTTATATCACCCCTTTCACTCGCCAGCGTGCCCAAATATGGGGTCGTAAGAGGCCACCCTGTAGAGGGGGGGGGGTCGCAGGGACTCAATTAAAATCCGCTATCAATAATGTGCTCTGGTTGAGTAAGCTTTCTCATGCATTTAGAGGAAAAAGCCCGATACCTACACTAGCTAAAACGCCACTTATGTCAGAGAGTACTTAAAAAATAGACAATGGGAGGCAAAAATGGGACCAAGCAAATGTGTGAGAGACGAAAATCGACCTGACTCGCAGGTCTTGCCATAAGCAAACAGCTGTGTTTTGATATAGGTTAGAAACATTTGGAGTGGAATGGTTTGCCTTCAACAGGAAGGAAACTGCTGCTTAAAAAAAACCTCAATTACACAAGGGCATTGTAGAATGTATTTTTCATGACTGCGCACCAAATCCCGCTACGCGATGATTTGTCCAGTGGGCGGCTTGCCCTGGAATTTAAGTGAGACGTTTCTTTTACTGGGAATATTGTTCTGCTTGGGGTTTATAAACGTAGGTACGACTGGCCAAAAGAGTAAAAAAAAACACGTTAGCAAGATAAGTTTACATGAAAGTGTCGATATGCGTGCAGGCCTTTGAAGAAGGCGCAGGGCACTTCGTTGTCGGGGAATCTCCAATAGGAGGGCGGAGGGTGTATTTGACCACCAGCAAAGAAGATAGGATCGTATTTGGGCTAGGAAGAATTTTAATAATTTATTTTCCTCGCTTCACGGGACGTTGAAAAAAAGGGAGGAGGGGGTCTTAGTCATTGCTAGGAGGGGAGGGGGTCGTATTTACGTTTTGGCGGCGGTTGACTTTTGGTGATTTTCCTGTTTCATGCTTACTATATGAAAAACTTTTCAGCCATCTACCGCCCAGAGAACTTGGGGCAGCAGCTGATTAGGGAACTGATCCCGCCAGCGCGTTGAAAACGGGCCGCCTGTCACTACACTTGTCACGTCTTCGCCTCTAAAAACTCTCCGTACGCTTCACGAATGTGCGTAAATCCTCGCACGGATGCTATGCTGAACTTATTTATATTGCTTCGATTACAGTATACAGGGGGGGGGGTAAAAAGTCATTCCGGCCGAGTCACATATGAGCGAAGTTTTCGCAGCCCAGACAGAGGAAGTGGATATGAGTACCAGGGCGGAAGATACCCAAGATCTTCCTCTATAAGCAGGAGCCGGCTGCCGCCATTCACCTTCATGTACACCAAAATATGAAGTCATCTCCAGTCGCGGCCTGAGTGGAGAACGCCTTTGGAATTCACGTGGCCTCCAAACAGCTGCGGAACTTCTTGAATGGAATCACCCATGGATAGCTACCTGGAGACCAGTACTCTTGATCTGCAAGACCTCAAACATCGAGCAGCTCCGGCAACGTCGCTACGGTCCAGGACATCATCTTCACCCCATTCACCAAGGCGCGGGTTGATGGTGTGGACCGGCCGTACCTGGAATGGATGAACCGATATTTTCTTCGTGGGCCCCAGACTGAGGGTGTGCGCTGGTGGCTACATCGAGCAACTCGAGGAGAATATCCCATCTTCATGTCGTCGCCCGTACCTTCTTGGAAACTTTGTACTGCTACAGGATTGGGTGACAACACATTTAATCGAAGGGCGTTGGAAAAACTTTCGCCTACTTGGAATGGAAGAACGTTGAGTACCTGGAAAAGATGGAGTATTTAAGCGGGGGTCCTGAACTAAACCCCCTCAATTACTCGGTTCGGGCGGAGCTCAACAGGGTGGTCTACAGTGGCGGAGAAATCAACGATCTCGCTCAACTCCGGTACCCACTCACTTTCGCGCGGCCGAATCTCTCGATGGCGCTCCTCCAGAAGGCTGTGGCGGAGTATCATTATAGTATTTAATGTGCTCTTTAATATGGTAGTAAAAATGTCCGATAAAAATTTAATAAAGTGTAACTTATAGCGCCTTGAAAGTCATGGAGGCAAAATGACTTTTTTTTGGCCCCCCCCCCTGTATGTCGCAGAGAGTTGAAGCTGCACGGCTGTAACCCTATAATCCCTATCTAAATTAAGTGGCACGGTCGTTACGAATGGGGATGCCAGCGAGGCTGTCGATATTCGGTCGCTAGATAAATATCGGATCGTCTTGTATGCTGCTTTGGAAAAAATATTTTTGCTTGTTAGATTCTTTTGGCTTTCCTAGGCCTTTCCTGTTTCAGGCAAGCTATGTGCATGCTCTCCCTCTCCTGCTCGAGTTGTCCAGTTTTCGAAGAGAAGGAGGTTTTATAGAAATATCCGGAGAAAAGTTGGGGAAAATAGTAAAGTGATATGGAGGACTGAGATGAGCGAAAGGGGGGGGGATGTTAACAAGGAAACGGAGAGTGGGCGGGGATATAGCTCTAGCAAAAAACTTTCTCAGCGGCGCACGCCGACGTGCCTGATCTAGAACTTGCCGCGGCCCGTGGAAATACTTTGCTCGGGGTGGGGAAAAAGGGTAATTTCAAAAAATTCCGACGTTGGATGTGCGATTTCTTTAGCTCACATCCAACCGAGTTTCGTGAGAGAACGAGGAAGAGAAAGAGAGAGAAAGAGAGAGACAGTGAGAGAGAGAGAGAGAGAAACAACCAGAGAAAAAAAGGGAGGAGTGTCCACAGTATGGGAAGTATTAGGTTGTCCGGAAAGTTCTTAGCGTTTTGTGCACCTAATCTTTGTACATTCACTGCTGATTAAAAACTCATTCTGCCTTGCTTCTCAGTAGCACATCCTGTAGAGAATTTCTTGCGCTATCTGATGGTATAATTGCCGTTTCACCATTGCTTGATAAACCCTTTTTTCAAGATTTTTTCAAGCATGTGAAAAGAGCACTTCGGACGATTTTTTTCTTCGGCTATAAATTGGGGCAATCCGCAATCGAAACAGCTCAACAAATTAACCAGGTGTGGGGCCCAATAGTGCTAGAGAAAGCACTGTGCCGCAATGGCTCAACAAATGTCGTTCTGGAAATTTCAGCCTTGAAGGTGAGCCTCATAGCGGTCGACCTAAAGCAATATCTGACGAGGATTTTAGGGGGATTTTGAAGGTTGACCCATCCCAAACAGTTCGAGAGATAGCAGAAGAGCTAGGCCTTGGCAAATCCACTGTTGCAGATGGTCTGGAACGCATTGGGAAGGTGAAAAAACTCGACAATTGGGTGCCCCACAATCGGAGTGACCGGCAGGAATCGGCACGTCTCGAGGTTCCTTCTTCACTGCTTTTGAATTGACCCGTTTTTGAACGGATTTGTCACCTGTGATGAAAAATGGATCATGTATGATAACAGGAGACGTTCCGGACAGTGGTTGGATTTGGAGGAACCACCGAGGTAATTTTCAAAGCCGAACCCTCGCGAAAAAAAATTCTGGTCAGGTTTGGTGGTCATCGGCTGTTGTAATCCACTATAACTTTTCATCACCAGGCCAAACCATCACAGCAGAACCCTACTGTGAACAAACCGACCAAATGTACCGAAAATATTGTCAGCTGCAGCCAACACTTATCAAAAGAAAGGGTCCGATTCTTTTGCATGACAACGCCCGCCCACTTTCACAAATCACTATCCATAAATTGAACGAATTGGGGTTGAAGTTCTACCTCACCCACCATATTCTCCAGACCTTTCACCAACCGACTATCACCTTTTCAGACATTTTCAGAACTTCCTTGCTGAAAAATACTTCATCAATTAGGACCAGGCAAAAAAGACCTTCGTAGATTTCGTGGATTCTCGACCACCCAGTTTTTTCTTTGATGGGATTTCTCGACTGCTGTCACATTGGCAAAAGTGTGCTGATTCGAATGGTGCTTATTTGGATTAAATCCGATGAGTGTTAAGAAAGTTATGATCGTTTAAAGTTAAACACCCAAAACGCTAAGAACTTTCCGGACAACCTAATATCTCTTGACATAACTGCGCAATTATTGTGTTCATAATTTTGACAAGTCGAATTTATCAACCTGGCATTTTTACAATAATCATCGCCACTGCAAAACGACCGGAACTACTCACCGCTGCAGTTCTGCCACCTCCGCGGATGCATCCAACCTGGTAAGAACGACCAGTCACGGCACGTGACGTGGGTGGAGTAAGAGTTCGAAGTAGACGAGAGGAGTCCATGCGAGGCGTCGAAAGCCGTGGCCGCTTCGCGGCACGAGGTTCCCATCCTGTCAGTTCAGATCCTTCCGTATATGTACTGTCACAACTCTCGTCATCATCCCTTTCATCAGCAGCGGAGTAATAGTGGTAGTTCTATAAAGAAGCAATCTATTAGAATTTAACGAATATGAGATGCGATCATACGGTGCGTCAAAGTTTGAATTTGTGCAACAGTCGGCATTAAGCGTTTTCAGCGTGCTGAAAACGCTAACGAACGCTTAATATGCTGGGAGACGGTCAAAACGCTGGCGGACGGTCAGGATGCTGACGTACGTTCAAAATGCTCAAAACGCTAGCAAATGCTGAAAGTGTGGTGGACGCTCAAAACGCTGGCGGAGGCGCAAGAAGTTGGATCGATACCTATACTTCCCAAACGCTCCAAACGCTGACGCGATTTATGAACGTACTCCAAGATTTATGAGCCCTTGACGATCTCGCAGTTGTATCACACTGATCAAGAATCCTATAAACATGCGCAATACTTGATGTTCGCCAAGAATGAACAGCGGGAGAACTAATACTTTCAGCTTACTTTCAGCTCACCAGCGGCGCGTTTTTCCTGAACTAGGAATTACTCGCTAACAATCTCTGTTTTCTGCAACAGACCAACTCCTTATGAAAGGAAACTGCACTATTTATGCCTTACTGACCCAATGACTGGATCCCACAATGTTTTTACCGCAGCCTTTCCACGTGGGTAGATTTGTCCAGTCGCTTTCGCCGATAGTATTACCCCCTTAAAACGAATATCATATCCGATTTGCTCAAAACCGCCCATGCCACAGGACCGACGCCAAAGCACATCGGTACAACAAATTTGTTGTAACCCCCACCCCAGAGCAGAGACCAATTCCTTTTTGCTTCGAAGTAATGTGATACATAAGTTTCGGAGTTCAAGCCACCATCGGAGTAAAATTTTGGCCAAATATATTTTAGAAGAGAACTTCCATGACAAATCGGTGCCTTCCGAATAGTGGGGCAGTCAATGGTGAACAGTGCCAAAAACCTATCACAGCCTTATGCGTTAAACATTTTGAGACCCAGCCCTGCATTTCTATGGGGCCAAAATAGGCTTCGTAATTCAAGTTCTTCTGTCGCTGGCAACCGCTTCAGTTAACGAACCTCCAGTTCAGTGCAAGGTCAGTATGCCTATCAAACTTCTCTGAAATGAAGCGCTCACTGGATCAGGAAATATAATAGAGGACTGATGCCAGTTAAATCCACTAATTGTAGTTGTAACAGTGGAGGCAAATGTTTTGGTTGTGTACAGTATGGATATAAAGCACGACTAAACATGGTCCCGCAGGGCCCAAGTGTGATTTTGGAGAAGGGAGTCAGCAAATTATTTCTTGCTGTAAAAAGCAAAAGAGAAGCGATAAATACATATGTTCTTCCACGATTTTGTGGTGTACCGTCTCTACGCGTCGACTGGTTCCTAGCAAGCAAATACCAATAGGTGACACTTTCTCGAAGAGAACTTAAAATTCAGCATAACTCAAATTTCTTGTCAAAAATACCATAGCTCCCTAGGACAATGACGAGTTTTACTCGAGATATCGAGGAGAGAAACAAAGTTTTGTTTAAAAATGCTCACATTTATTCGACCCTCCTTTCGTAATCGCTCAGCGGTGATGACTGCGACAGAGCGTACTTGTTGTGGTGTCGGCGTTGATGAATTTCGTGGAGGAGGAGGACGAAGAGGACGATCCTGGACAGAAACCGCTTTACGCGGGGCAACAACATTCGGAACAGGGCTTGCGGTTCGTTCTTTGTAGGTTCTGAACACATACTGACATCTCCAAATCTGAAGTCCAAATAAAGCTAACTTTGAGGCGATAAGAAACGCACGAGCTGGTTTTGCAGCTGATCGTGGTGGCTGAACTCTCTGTGCTGTCGGCTGAGATGACTTCAAACGGTTTGTGAATCGCTCACTGAATCCTCTCCAGTAATCACTGAAAGAGTTACTCAGTTACAGATTTCTGAATTCTCTCAAACTAATGGATTATGTAAAATTGCATACTAAATTTCATAGAGTTTCAAATCCACGCCGTCAACCCATTCCTCTTTAATCTGAGATACTCGTCTAACGCGTGATGACTGCGACTGAGGTTTTCTTCGCCGAACACCTGAAGAGCAGTACTTATAAAAGAAAAGTACAAACAGCGTTGGCCTGGTTCATTACTTTTCCGTCGTTCCCGTTCACTGCTCGTCCACGACAAATCATCTTCTTCATCGGCTCCATTGTCGTCGTCCAGAGGTAGAACTTCGATGGAAAGTCGATACCTGGAAATAGTCGATAAAGAAGACCAACAATGACGAATTCTTGGAAAATTGTTTGTAAAACCGGTCAGGATTCCCGACTGAGCAGGCGCTACTTTCTTTGAGAATTTAACGTTACTCCGCTGCTGTTCTCCCTACACAGTGCTTTCCATTTCGGTGCAGTTTGACGACGGGGGGGGGGGGGGGCATTTGCACTTTCGCTACTTCCCATCGACGTGTCGACCTATCTAGGCAGCCTCTTCTCGAGTTGACAGGTTTTACCATGATGGCTAGATGAGCTTGCTCCAGCTTCACAAGAGTTCACAGGTTTCGCCAGAGTGAGACTTGTAAACCGGAACTAGGGAAGCAATGATAGTACAAAATGCCCCCCCCCGTCGACAAACTGCACCTTCCGCTTCTTTATATAGTAACCATCAGCTTATAAATCTACCAGTCGGATCGCCCGGCTGTCGCCATGCGCTCCTCCTTCTGTGACATAGCCCGACTATCTCACCGACCTATCTAGGTAGCCTTTTTACGAGTTGACACGTTTTAGATGGTGGCTAGACGATCTTGCTCCAGCTTCACAAGATTCACAAGTTTTACCAGAGTGAGATTTGTAAACCGGAACTAGGCAATGGTAGTACAAAATGCCCCCCCCCGTCGACAAACAGCGCCTCACCACTCTGTTATTGCAAATCACAGACTGGTAAAAAAATACATGAGTTTAATATATTATCCAGGGTATGTACTTTAAAAACACGGGATAACAGACCTTTCATAAATGCATGGTGGGCCGTACTCCTTGTGGAGAGAAATCCATCGACGTTCATCGCGATCCGGAAAATGATTCACGACTCGTCTATCAGGATCCTGAAAACGACACTCTTTACACATTCGAGGCGAAGCCTATTTCGCCCAGAACTCACGTTCGTTGTTGTTTTTGGCTTATTTTTACAATTTTTTCTGATGTGTTAATTGTGTAAATGTATGCTAGTAGAATATAATCAGTCGCAAAAAGAACAAAAAAATATGCGCGTGTTTTCGCAATACTGTACGAATGACCGAAAACAGGGGTTTCCGCGTGTACTCCCGGGAGTACACGCCGCCTCGAACGTGTTAAAATACCTGTTCTGTAAATAATGAGCTCATTTCATTGAAGATATGAAAATGATCCTTGCGATAGCATCGGCAAGGGGATGAGCCTAACTTATTGAGCGTACTTTAGGCGCCCACTCTGAACGCAAAAAAAATTTGGCATTAAGACTGTTAGTAGGCCTGATATATTAGGTTGGCGGGAAAGTTCTGTCACATTTTTTCAAACTAGGCTTTCTTTTTATAGAGAGGCGTACAAGATCAAAATTATACAGCAATGTCATTGCGGAATCCTGCCAGTTTTCGAGCACTTCGTGGATGCCATCGCTTCACAATGGAGGCTGGCACGACGCAATGTTGGACATCATCTCAATGACTTGGGCTCGAGTCGTGGAGGTTTTCTCGGCCATATAACGGTTATGTCCGAGAGGTAACTAGCAGTTAGAATGAGCAATGTCTGGGGTACACCGGTGCAGGGGAGAGCCATCCAGCTCTTTTGCATGAAGTTCGGCTCGAACTTTTTTGGACAGAGGGGGCTGCACCATCACGTTGAAGACGGACTGTGCGGACGAATTTTTCCCTCTGATCGACGATTCGCCTCAGCTCTCGTAGCTGCTTTGCATACGGATCGACCAAGGACGCAGCTTCTTCGTCCAGCAGTTTACCGACCCACAGCTCCCTCAGGCTAAGTTCACAGGTATACCCAAACCTCACTTCGTCATTCAAACTGTAGGCTGCGGCTCTGAAGCTTTAGCGTCGTGGAAGGTTGTCTAATAATCGTAGACATCGTCCTTATGCAGCTCCATTATTTCGGCATCAACAGCTGTCATGCTGGCGCCAGGGCGGTAGAAGAAAGAGTTTGAGGAAGCGCTTGGAGGGGTCAGGTGCCAAAGGTAGCGGATAACATTCTTGTTCATATTGCACAATAAGGAGAAGCAGGAGTCAAGCCAGTGATACCAATAGAAAGACCATTCTTTGATGTATAAGTCTCACATTACCGGTTAACGCTCTTCAGGTAATTAGCAAATATTTTGGGTTCAAAAATATATGACAGAACTTTCCCGCCAACCTAATACCTTTCAAACTCTACCTTTATGACTGCATCCAAGGATTTGACTGACGGGAAGTTCACACTCAAGGGTGGATGCCTTTCGAGGAAAACTGTATCTCATTGTTGAGATGGCCAACCACTTACTTTACTTAGGAACTTAGGAGCCGGTTTCAGAGCACGCTTTCTATCCATGGGGCCCTAATACGCAATTTTGGGTTGCTGTAATTATAGCGATCGTACTCATCCGTTTTTTTACAGTCCACAATAATCACTGGGGCGCTGTTTGTCGACGGGGGGGGCATTTTGTACTACCATTGCTTCCCTAGTTCCGGTTTACAAATCTCACCCTGGTAAAACTTGTGAACCCTTGTGAAGCTGGTGCAAGATAGTCTAGCCACCATCCTAAAACGTGTCAACTCGAGAAAAGGCTACCTAGATGGGTCGGCACATCTATGGAAAGCAGAATGCCCCCCCCGTCGACAAACTGCGCCATCAGTAGGTGGAGACGCCCCCCCCTACATATACCTGATGGAGAACGTGGAGACCCCGCTCCCCCTACTATACCTGATGGAGAACGAACTGACAGCGCCAAATCCCGCTTACTAACCACGCTCATCAATACACGAGTGAAAAAGGGTGCTTGTACAGGGAACAGCATCATTGGGCGAGAGACATAGTGGGGTAGTACTCTTCCGCTGGGAAGGGGGTCGTATTTGATTGTTGTTGGGAGAGGGGTGGAGTTCGTATCTCCTTGAGCAGGAATTGCCGCGTCGGGAAAAAAATTTTGTGATATTATGCCTGTTTCCATGTGTTACTATTATAGAACCCGCTCACTCTCCTCCCGCTCCGACAGCGGTACTTTTGGGAAATTCCGCAAAAAAAATCCAGAAAATTGATAGGTTGTTGGGGAAGGGGGGGGGGACGTACTGACAGCACTACTTCCCACACCGCGAAGCTGTACCCTGTATTTGTGAACACATCTCATTTCTCCAAGTACCAAAAATTTCAAGCGGTGACAGTCCTTGGCAACTGGTGATACTTTCTTTCCCTTATGCTTTCTATGCTTTGTGAAGTCTTTTCATAGCTATAAAGTAGCTCACTAGAACCTTTCAAACACAGATATCAGAGCGAAGCGCCTCGTTCACAGCGCAATAATCTAAGCCTTCTTTCTTTTGTTCTGCTCTGAGCTCAATAAAATGCAGCAGAAATGGAACACGATCGAGAAAAACCTTACATCATCTTCCGGCTTCATATCCTGCCAGCGAACTGAAGCCCATAAAATCCGCAATTGCAGTGCCACAGCTTGCAACGACGAGCAGTTCACTGTTAACCATCTGCAACAGTTCAGCAGAAAATAAGAATAACAAATAAACGCTCTGATAAGGAAGATAACAAGAATATCAACAATGAAGTAGTAGCAAATCGATCCGCATAACTAAAGGACCACATATAGCAAAACTGTTGGACAACTAACCTCCAACATAAATCAAAACAGGGACGAGGCGTGGGATAGTTCCAGTATTGCAGGTTTCCTTTCGCTGTTGCCGAGAAACTGGGGACATAAATTGCTTTACGACCTCCACTTTTCGCCAAACGCCGAAGCGTTCTTAAATACAACGTAATAAAGCAAATATAACTTAGGTGAAACATCAATGAAAACAATCATTCGGTGAAGAAGGGATGATAAAATGTAGGCTTACACTTGTGGTAAGACGAAAATGCTTGTGCGCTTAGACCCTCGAGAAACAAACTTGTTCACTTTAGGCAACGGCCACGGTAGATCCTCCCCCAAAACACCCTTCAGCGGGGTAACTGTTTTTGACGGATCGTACGCCTTCACTACACCAGAGCACACACCTGAAACATTATTTAGTTGAAATGGAGAAATCGAGGCTACATTAAAGACAATATTGGCGATTGTGCATAGTGGATGGTGGTGTTCGATTACAATCCTGTAGTCACCTAATGACTCACTAGGAAAGAAAAAAAAATTCTCGGACAAATCCTAAGTAGGGGTCTAGCAGTCCTCACTTTACGAGTTGTTTGGACCTGTTTGTTTCGAGCCAGCAAAGCGATATGTCCGCCTCTGGCTCAGTAGTCGTTTCTTCGCGTCATCCAATGCTAGTACCATCTAACAGTGAAAAGAAAACGAAAAACACTAAGCAAAAACTAAACTCGCGGCAGAAACTGTACCTGAGTTTCGGTAGGCGGGACAACTATGGAGGCGTCAGAAACACTTCTGAAAGGTCGCAGCGCCTTCGTTACCTTTGTGGAGCCGCGAAAGTGGGATAATACTGGAGACTGAGGGCCAGGTTACTTATACATGGGTGAATGCTTACGAATTGCTCTAATTGGGATTGTCTAAGCTGTAAAATCACAAACCTGGTGCAGCATCAATGGAAGAGCTGGGGCGCGTGACATCAGTTCCCTGCTGACGACATTCGAACGAGTAGCATGCCTGGTAGCCAGCACTGGCGTCATCGGAACATACAGATCTATAACAAGCCAAGAATTTCGTATTTATGAATAAATGTTAAATATGTCTCGAATATTATACATAGAAAATTGTATTTGCTACCTGGGAGGAATTCCCATGCGACAGCTGGGAGAATAGCATGGGCAGCTCTTCCTTCGCTCACCCATTACCTCCTGCATCGTCCTCCACTGCTTCAAACGGGCTGCTATTTCTTCAAGCCGACTTATCTTGTTGTCCCTTGTTGACTCCTATAAAGTAATTTCACAAACGACGCTAAACAAACCGAGCAAGCTCACTATCACCTTCACGTTTTCGGAAGAGCACTCTGCTTTGGAAGGATGGCTGCAAGGCGATTCCCGGATGTCTCTAACCAAAGTACGCGAAATCCAGATCCACCCACCCAGTTCTCCTCGCCCATAAACGCGGTACTTTTCATCCTGCAAAATGAACATGACTGACTGTAAAAGCCAATGAGGAATGAAACTCACCCTCATCCTAGTTAACTCTCGACTGATTCCATGAGGCATTCTCGTGTGCTTCACTATAATGATGTCGTCATCGAGAGCATCAATCGCTTCCTAAACTGGCGGAACATGGAACAAATACCAGGTAGAAGACATTTAACTTGTTACCCTTTCTTCTTTCTTCCTTCGCTGAGCTTCCTTCATCATACGCTCACGATCCTCCACAGTCGTACGCGTTAATCGAGTATGACCAAGATTGTTCCACCACTGTGGTAGGAAAAGAGTACGCCGCATGCCGCACTCTAGCCGAAGTAGTAGATCTCGAAGTTTTCGCCATTGCGTTGTGGGAGAGTCCAGGTCCTTCAATTAATCACATAACGAAAAAGGTAACTCTAACAGTTTATTCCTCCTAGGAGAGTTCGGACTAGCGCCTATCCCTAAGGCAGCATTCAGAATAGGTGAATACTATTGACGCCCTACAACGCGCTACCATTACCGCAACTTCTAGTGCTACAGACATGAACGCGGTGTTCACAGTCCAGATTCACGAACCCGACGAATCGAATCGACCGGGAGTATCGTCACCCGCTCTGACGAACTGTAGAATTCAGCGCCAACGTGAGGATAGCTACACTGCGAAGCATAATCATAGTTCCACCCATGAATCTCACAAAATCCCGTCTTACACGACGTTTTCAAAAATGCCCCATACAAAAAATGTGGTAATTACCAATACCAATTCGCATGCCAACACCAAACTCTAGCTTGAAAAAATTTTTCGTCAATTTTTTCAAAAATGGTCGTTCTGACAACGCAGCAAAAGTATAGTTCCACCGCATATTTTCCGATGCATCTCATTTTTGTTAGGTAAAACTTCTCATCATTGACTTCTTGCCTCTTCTAGGCTATGGCAAGTGGAACTTCATTAATGGACCTCGAAAAGGGACAGATTATCACAAAGAAGTCTCAAAAACTGTTGAATCGTCGAATGGCGCGGGATTCGGGCTGCACTCATCATGCTATCAACAATTTTTCAAGGGACCTACAAGATACTTGAGTTGAGAAGAGTCTGGATATCCAACTCTGCAGTGTCGTGTCGGAAATTAAGTCATTTCGGAGGTTAATGTCTCGAAGGATACTGTTAGGCGTGTCTTGAAAAACTCCTGAGTTCACCCACAGGAGGAATATGAGTTAGGCACTGTTTCTAACAAAAAACCATCGCGAAAACCTAATTGGCTTTGCTCGAAGATGTTGCCGAACCCAATGGAGTGAGGTTAGCTTTTGGCTGCGGTGCCCTACTGCTTGTCTGTGTTGTTTTTTAGTTTTTTTTTTCTCGCGGTCGTGTTTTCTGATGAGAAAAAATTCAACTGCGACGGCTCCGACGAAAACCGATTCCGCTGGCACGACCTGAGGGAAAGATAAGTTTCATTTTTCCGGGCAGAAATTCAAAGGATGGTCTGGGCTGCCATCGCATCAAGGGAACGTCTGAAACTGCGCTCCGTATGAAAAAAGAAATGATTTCTTCCGTCATCTAAAAGTCATGCGACGACGTCTCCTTGCTTTCTGGCGTAGAAATCAGCAAGAAAGTCCTGTTTTCATGCAAGATAATGCACCAGTTCATGACAGTCGAAGCACTCGAGCGTGGTTCAGTCGTCACCAAACCGCTCTTTTGCCCTGGCCAGCGAGTAGCCCCGACTAAACCCAATCGAGGATGTGAGGGGCTTCATGGTGCGTATGATCCATGAGAGTAATGCACAATTCCACAAGGTCCGTGAGCTTAGGGAGTTAATCATTGGGGCAGTCGGCCGAAAGCCTACTTAAATCTCTAATCGAACATGGGCAACCGTATTTTCCAACTTAATTGGAGAAATAGAGTTCCAATAGATTACTGGATCAAAATTTATTCATTTTATTGTACACTTGTTGTTGGAATATTCGATTTGTTCGGTGGAACTATCATTTTGCTGCGTTGTCAGAACGACCATTTTTAAAAAAATTTTGAAAAAAATTGTTTTTCAAGTTGTTTGCTTGTTGGCATACGAGCTGGTAATTAAACGTTTTCTGTATGGGGGCACATTGGAAAACTTC